AGGCCAAGCAGCCGGGACAAGACCATTGAAGTATTTGAAGCCATGTCCTCTGTAAACGTCCAGGTGGGCTGCTGCTGCAGATTTCAGCGGCGGCGCTACGCGGGCACCGCTCGCGCGCTTTGGTACAAACCCGCCGCAACGTGCCGCCGGCGCTGCCCCGGCATGCGCTGCACACAGCCTGCACCCATTCGGCCCTGCACCCAGCACAGCTGCCTGGCCTGGGCACCCCAGCGCCGGGTGTGCCCCCGCACGCCGCCCTTTGGTCTCCCTCCCAGGCCCTGCTCCCTGCCCCCGCCCTCTGCCCCTGCAGCCCAACACCTTTAGCTATAGCGCGCTCATCAGCGCACTGGCGCGCGCGGGGCGCTGGCAGGTGGGCGAGCGCCGAGCGGCAGGCACAGCCTGGCAGCGCCCCACAGCCACGCCACCCTGCCCGCTCCTCAGCTCCCCCCCGCCTGCCGTGCGGCCGAGCGGGCCAGCCACTGCCGCTGCGCTTGCTGTGCCGCATGTTGTGCCACCTGCTGTACTGCCTGTTGTACCGCATGCCTGTACCGCCTATCTGTACCGCAGGAGGCGGAGCGGTACTTCCAGGAGCTGGCAGCCAAGGCGCAGCGCCACCCCGACATGCAGCCCAACACCGTCACCTACGCAGCCCTCATCTCTGGTGCGCCCCATGCCCAGCCCTGCCTGTGTGTTTGCCTGCCTGTCTGACTGCCTGTCTGTTCTCTGCTGCTGCTGCTGCTCACGGTAGGGGGGCGGTGGTCGGGACACAGAGTGCCTGTACACCCATTTGGAGCAAGTGAATGCTACCGGCCCCCTCCTAAACCGCCACACCAGCGGGCTGCCGTCGCGGCGCCGGCTGGCTGGCAGCGGGTGTGGGGCGGGGGCGGGCCTCCTGTGGGCGAACGGCGCACGCCCGGCGCAGGGCAGCACGTGACTTTTGACCTTCAGCGGGCTCCTGCTCTGCATGCTGCAACGCTCAGAGCAACATCTGCCGCGCGCCGCCCGCCCACCTCCCTGCCTGCCGCACCTCACCGCTCCCCACCTCGCCTGCCGCCTGCCGCTGCTCGCCTGCAGCGTACGAGAAGGGCGGGCAGCTGGACCGGGCGCTGGCGGCGTTTGAGCGCCAGCTGGCGGCTGACGTGGCGCCAGACCTCATCACCTACTCATCCCTCATCACCGCCTGCGAGCGCGCGGGTGCGCCCGCGCCGCCAAAAGCTCTTGCTCGCTTGCGTGCGCGTGCAGCCTGGTTTCGGCAAGAACAGCTAGCTTGCAGCGCAGCCCTCCTCTGCAACTGCCACGCGTGTTGAGCGCGCATTGCTGCCCCGCTCTTCCTCCCGCTCCCTGCTCGGGCGTCCCGCCTTGGGGCTGCGGCCTTGCCTGCGTCGCCACGCCTCCCACCCTCCCCTGCTGCTGCGCCCGCCGCTACCTGCCCTCCCGCTGCAGGCAGCCTGGGCCAGGCGTCTTGCCTGCTGGACCAGCTGCACGGCTCGGGGCTGGTGGGCAACCACCAGCTGTACCATGGGCTGCTGTCGGCGTGCCAGGTGGCGGGGCGGTGGGAGCTGGCGGTGGAGGTGTTCCTGGGCATGCAGGTGGGCTGCTGGGGTGGTGGCCGGGTGGGCTGGGATGACTGGAGTGGTGGCTGGTGGCTGGGGGCTAGGATGGCTGGGCACCGTGCCTGCACATGGTTTTGGGATGCGGTTTTCCATCGGTCCAGGGCTGGTGCCGCCTGCCTGCGCCTCCCTCCCGCCACGCGCCTCGCTCCCGGCTGCTCGGCAGCCCCGTGCCCAGCCCGCCCACCCACCCAGTCCACCTGACCCACCCAACCCACCCTGCCCCCTCCCACCCCCGCAGTGCGCCACGATGCGCCCCACGGCGCACACCGTCGGCCTGCTGCTGGGCACGCTGTGCGAGGCGGGGCAGGCGGGCCACGCGCTGTGCCTGCTGTGCGAGGCGCTGCGGGGCCGCTACGAGCTGGGGCCCTCCGCCTACCACGCCGTACTGCAGCTGCTGGCGGGGCTGGGGGACTGGCGCGCGGCGCTGGGGGTGTACCGGGCCATGCAGCTGGTCAAGGCGGGGCCGGATGCCAGCTCAGCAGGGCTCATAGTCGCGGCCTGCATGCACGGCGGCAACCAGGCGCTGGCAGCGCAGCTGGCGGGGGAGTTTGTGGCGCAGGGCCTGCTGCAGCCGGCGCCGCCGCCGGGCGGCCCCACCAACGGCAGCGCCGCCGAGGCGCCCGCCGACGGCCCCGCCGCGCCCGCCGCGCACGCATCGCACCCGCAGCAGCAGCACCACCACCAGGCGCAGTACCGCCGCAGCGGCAGCAGCGGCAGCAGCGCCAGCACGGCGGCCGCCAGCGTGGGCGGCCTGGGCAGCACCTACTCAATCGCCAGCCCCAGGAGCAGCGCCACAGCCAGCCCCAAGGCGTGACCCCCCTGGAGTGCTTGCCGGCATCCGACCAAAGGCGTGGCGCGCCGGCCTGGATTTTTCGGCGCCCCTCGATGCTCGATACAGCGACCGGTGGCGGCCATGTGTCGTGGGGGGGCTTCCTGCAATTTTGCGCAGGCGGCGCGAACTGGAGCCCCCCCTGTTGCCCGCTAAATCTAGTGTTTGCCACCCCTGTCGCGGACCCCAAAGGTCCCGCCCTTGCCACAACCCATACCCGACATGCACGCACAGAACCCGGTGCAGCCCTGCTGCCTGTCTTGACGACGCCTCCCCTTCCTCTCTTCGCCTTGTCCTCCTCTCTGCCCTCCTCGCAGCCTTGCCTTTTCCGCGCGCGGCCTGCCTTTTCCCCGAGCGGCCCTGTCCTGTACCTGTCTCCTGTCTCCTCTTAGTGTTTTTCCCTCCCTCATCCTCTTTCTCTCTGTCCTCTTCCCCCGGCCCCCTCCCCAACCTTCCCTCCTCTCTCTCAGTTTTAAGGAGATGCCGCCAGACGCATGCCCATGCCCCGCGCCCAATCGTTGCCGAACTGCCACCTGCCGCCTGCGTGCGCGGGATGCCCGCTCTATGTTGTGCCCCAATCCATGCTTCCCCATATGCATACAAAACAAATAACTTGCCCTTGCCTTTGAACCCGACCACACCGCGCCATGCTTTGATCCTCTCATACCAATTGCTTGCTTCACATCCTACCGCCGCGGCGCCCTTCATGTGGCCGCCACCTTGGGGCGGGCTGACCTGTCGGTGACAGCCTGCCACTCGTGCCCTGCATCGACTCGATTAACACTCCACCACCGGTTGCCCTACCCAGGGCAGAGAACGAGGGGCCAGAGGCGCGGGTGCGACAGCAGGTTGGCTGCACTCGAGGCGTTGGTGGCTGGCAAACGCCTCGATTTGCGCCGCGTGCGTCTGCAAGCCCGATTGCAGCATCAGCCTCGCGCAAGGAGCACGCCCGGCCACCGATGCGGAAACCTCCCAACTTCTTGGCAGCACGATAGCATCCCACCTCTACCACAACGCACAGCAGCGTGTGCAGGTGAGTTAAAGCGGCCTGCAGCGCCGTGGGGCAGACCGCAGAGCCGACCCCGCCGGTGGCGGAGGGACTGTCGGCGGCCGTGGCGGCCGCCTCGCTCCGACTCCCCCATCTTTCGCTGCTGAGGGCCCTGGCTGCAGGGATTTGCAGTTGATGTACACAGTCGGATGGGCACTGGCGGCCTGGCTGCTCTGCGCAGCGGCGACCTGGGCGCAGGAAGGCATCGCTCCCGGCGCCGACGGTGAGCGCAGCGGCGGCAGGGCGGGGCGGGGCCAGGCGCCCAGGCGCCTCTGCGCCACCACCTCTGCGCACCCAGGCCTGCCGCAAGGCATCCGGCGGCTGCCGCTGCTGCCTCTCGGCTGCCTCTGCGCTTGCTGCGCTCCACCTCCCGCACTGCTGCGCTCCCGCATCACTCACCCTGCCTCGCCGCCTCCCTGCCGCCGCCGCCGCCCGCCAGAAGCGGCCCTGCTGGCGCTGCGCGGCTCCATAACCAACTGGCCAGCCTTTGCCGCCGCCAACGCCATCCGAGGCTGGGACAGCAGCCTGCCGCTGTGCCAGTGGACAGGCGTGGCCTGCACGCCGGCTGGGAGCGTGCAGAGCGTGTGAGCGCGGGCTGCCGGCGCGCCGGCGCGGCTGCCCTCATGAGCTGCCCTCACGAGCTCGTCAGGCGCAGCAGCCGGCCGCCCACGGCCGGTGCCGGCCACACGGTTTAGCGTGTGGAGGCTGCCGTGTGTGGGGCGCCTGCCGCCTCCCAGCCCGCTAAGCCCTCCGCCTGCCGGCACCGCTGCCTGATTACCTGCCTGCCTCCCAACTTTCTTGTTTCCCGCAGGTCTCTCCAGTGCGAGGGCTGCCCGGTGCAAGCGCAGGGCAGCCTGCCCGCCGCCCTGGCCGACCTCGCCGCAGCCACCACGCTCAACCTGCAGGGCAACGCGTTTGGCGGCGGGCTGCCTCGGGAGTGGGGCGCCCCCGGAGCGATGCAAGCGATGCAGAGCATGTGAGTGGGCTGTGCCGCCGGGCGCGCCCAGCAGCGGCCGCCAGCCCAGCCCAGCCCAGCCCAGCCCAGCCCAGCCCAGCCTGGTGTGCCTGCCGGCGGGCTGCCAGCCTGGCGACGTGCTCTAGCGTGGGCAGCCCTCCGCGCCAGCTACTGCCGCCGTGTCGGCCTCCGTGCATATATGCATGCGGGGTGCCGCTCCAACCAGGCGGCCCGCTCCGCGCGGGCTTGCTCGCTTGCCTGTCGTCCCTCCTCTCCTCCTCCTCCGGAGGATCGTCCTGCCCACCGGGAGAAGCGGCGCCCCCATGCCCGGCCCTGCTGCAGGTATCTAAATGACAACCAGCTGACCGGCAGCATCCCCGATAGCTGGGGCAGCCCCGGGGCCTTCCCCCAGCTGTCCCTGCTGCGAGCAGACGGCAACCGCCTCGGCGGCAGCCTGCCGGCCGGCTGGGGCGGCGGCGGCGGCGGCGGCGGCGGCGGCGCGGGCGGCAGCCAGAGCCTGCCCAACCTGCTGGTGCTGTGAGTGCCGCCGCTGCGCCCATGCGGCCGCTGCCCTTGCCGGCTCACGACGGCGAGCGCGCTGCGGGCGGCTGCCCCGGCCTGCCAGCCGCTGGCTGCGCTGCCTCCTGCTCCTCACACCCCGCCCCTCCGGCTGTCCTGCCCCCGCGCTCCCTCCCCTTTGCAGCCGCCTGTCCCGCAACCGCCTCAGCGGCGGGCTGCCCGAGGCGTGGGGCTCTGCGGGCGCCTTCCCTCGCCTGCAGATACTGTCCCTGCAGAACAACTCGCTCACCGGAGCGGTACCAGCTTCCTGGCAGGACCCAGGGGCCATGCAGTACCTGCAAGAGCTGTGAGCCTCATTTCCCTTACGTCTCCAGAAGGGCGCACGTGTTTGGAGGCTGCTCTGCTAAGATCTGCGGCTGCTCTGGTCTGGCAGCATCTCACCCCGCTAACAAGCGGGGTGAGCTAACAGACTGGCAGCATCATGCCAGGCTGTGTGCTGCCCCGCCATCCCTCCCTGCTCTGCCTGCAGGTACCTGCAAGAGAACCAGCTGGCGGGGCAGCTGCCGAGCAGCTGGGGCACCGCCGCCAGCTGGCCCGTCCTGCGCTTCCTGTACCTCGACTCCAACCCGCTGACAGGTACTGGCGGTACCGCTGCCATGCTGGCATGCCATACATGCCATGTCACCAGGCCTGGCAGCGCTGCTGTCAGCAGTTTTAAAGGAGCCTCCTTGAAGGCAGCCTGCATCCATCAAAATTCAGCCATTTCGAGATGCTGCCTTCACTGCTGCTCCACCGCGGCCCTCTGCCGGCCTCCCCACGCTCCCCGGCTGCGCGCAGGCACGTTGCCGCCAGAGTGGGGAGAGCAGGGCTCCTTCCCGGCCCTCAAAGTGCTGGGGCTGAACGGCACGCTGCTGACAGGTGGGCCGCAGCAGCAGCAGCGCAGGCTGCGACAATGTTGCAGAGCAGGCAGCAAACAGCTGCCAGCCGCCAGGCTTGCAAGGCCTCCAAGTTGGAAGGGGCTGCTGCCCGCCGGGAGCCCCAGCAGCTCAGTAAAGCAGCTGGCAGCTTGCTTCAAGGCAGGGCACCCTGCCGCCGCATCCTGCCGCCGCAGGCACGCTGCCGCCACAGTGGGGAGCTGGCGGCTTTGCCGCGGCCGACGCGTTGTGAGTGGGGTGGGCCGTGCATGGCCCAGTTCGCGTCGCCAGCGCGTGCCAGCAACAGCGCTGCCTTGCCTGCACGGCCGCGCCTCATCTGCCTCCGCCCCCGCCCATGCATGCCGTCAAGATTATGATGCATGATACATAAGATGCCCCTCCTCACATCTGTCCCTCGCATTCCTCTGCCGCTGCAGCTGGCTGGAGCGCAATGATTTGAGCGGTACCGTGCCCGCCGCCTGGGCCGGCCTGGCCAGCCTCAGGCGCCTGGTGCTGCGCCCGGGCAACCCGCGGCTGTGCGGGCCTGTGCCCCCAGGCCTGCCCTTTGCCGTTTGCACAGATCAAGACGTCTCCTGCCTGAGGGAGCAGCCCACCCTGTTGGATGGCGAGTGTGCGGCAGCGGCAGCAGGCGGCGGCGTGCCGGCGCCGGCGCCAGCGGCGGCAGACGAGGGCAACAGCGGCGGCGGCGGGGTGTCTGCTGCAGCCATCGCGGCGCCCGTGGCGGCGGGAGCGGCCGTGCTGGCCGCCGCGGCCGCCTGGGCTGTGGCTCGGCGGCGGCGGCGGCGGCGGCGGGGTGGCGGGGCGGGGCAGGCGGCGGATGAGCGGGGGCTAGGCGGGATGGTGAGAGGTCCCCACGCCGGCCATCAGCTCGCTGGGTTTGTCCTTTCTATATCGTTTCTTTCTTTTTCCTCCCTCCCTTTCAGCCCCCAGCTGCTTGCAATTGACTGGAGCAGCAGGACAGGCTGAGCTTTCTCTCCCCTTCCCGCCCTGCCCCCGCCCTGCCCTGCAGGCTCATCCGTTTGATACAGAAGAGGGGCGGGCGGCCCTCACCTCCCCCTTTGCCGCTGGAGCCTTCCAGGCCGGCGCCGCCCGCAGCCACTCGGGCTCCTCCTGCCACCCGGCGCCACCCGCGGCCAGCGGCGGCCACAGTGCGGACGCCGCGCGGCAGCGCAGCGCCAGCCCCGCGCTGCGGCGGGGGCCCCACGACAGCGTGGGCACGAGGAGCAGCTCCATCTCAGGAGGCAGCAGCGCCCGCAGCTACCTGGCAGCCAAGTGTGCCCGCATAGAGACAAAGAGCATTGGCCTCTCGCCCAGCGGCGCATACCTGGCGGGGACGGCCGCAGGCGGCAGCAGCTCGGAGAGCACCGGCGGCGGCGGAGGCGCGGGCCGGGCGCCGGCCACGCCGCCGCCCGGCGGCGCCGGCGCGCTGGAGCTGCAGCCGGTGGCGGCGGCGGCGGCGGCGGCGGGGCTGAGCCCGTCTGAGGCTGAAGAGAGGGAGATGGTGGGGGCGATGCTGTCGCCGCAGGGGGGCAGCAGCGACCGGGTGAGTTGGGGGGCATCTCTGCTCTGCCGTTTTCACCGTTTTTCAGGGGACTGCTCTGCATGCTGCCGCCGCCGCCGCGTGCACCGCCAGTGGCCGGCCAGCCACGCTTCAGACCAGCTTCGGCGTGCATGGGTGGGCAGGCAGGGCATGGACTGCCCGATCGAGCCTGCATGGGCCCTCATGGTCTGGGCTCATCATATAGCACTCAGCATAGCACACCCGGCTGGCATGCAGACGTCTGCTGAGGAGGGCATGCCCAGCCCCTACCCCGAGCTGCCGTTCAGCGACTGGGAGATCAGCCCCGCGGGTGGGCGCGCCGCGACCAGCGCCTTGCTTTCTTTTCTGTCCAGCGCTGCCACAGGGGCTGGCGCAGCGGCTGCAGCAACAATTGCGACCATGTGTGTTCTGGCCATGCCGTCCTGCCTCTCACTCCCCTCATGTTGTCCAACCGCGCCCCTCCTGCAGAGATTGAGATTGTGAAGCGCCCAGACGGCTCCGACTGGTCGCTGGGCAGCGGCGGGTTTGGCAAGGTGGGGGCCGTTGCAACGCCAATTGGCTCCGGCTGCATGATGGTGCAGCCAGGCTGATGCAGATGCGGAGGCAGCCGGGCAGCGGGGTAGGCACCAGGCCAGGGCAGGCTGCGGCTGCCACCCGTGCCTGCCTACTTGACTGGCTGTCGTTAGCTGCCTGGCAGCTGCGCGGCAGATGCGCGGCAGCCCCATTTGCAAGCCCGTCAGCACCATGGCTGGCTGGCGCCATGCGGGCGACGCGCCTTGCACGCCTGGCCTAGCCAGCCATGGCGCTAGCAGGCTTGTGGACTGGGGGCGGCCGTGCAGCTGCCAGGGCATGCAGGCGCCGTGCCGGCGCTCTGAAGAGCTGTCTTCCTCTTTTCTTTGCCCATACCCACTGTGTGTGTGCGTGTGTGCGTGTGTCCGGTGTCCACATGTCCAGCTGACGTCCTGCCGCCCAGCCCCCGCCCTCCTCCTCTGCCACAGGTGTACAAGGCATTGCGGCACGGCGTGCAGCCGGTGGCGGTCAAGGTGCTGGCCACGCAGGGCGAGATGCGGCAGGTGGGTGGGACAGCAGCAGCCCGCTGCGCTTGCTGAGCTCGCCACATCTGGGGATTGCCCGCCGGGCCAGCCCGCACCGCAGCGCTGCTGGTGCCGCATGTGCCGCCTGTACCGCATGTGCCGCCTGTATCGCAGGTGGCACTGGCCGACTTTAGAAAGGAGATTGCCATTCTGAAGGCCTGCCGCGACGTCAACATCGTGCAGTTTGTGGTGGGTGTGGGTAGGGCTAGCGCTGGTGTGCTGGCTGATGGGTTGCAGGGCGAGCGGGAGGGTGGCGTGTGTGGGGGAACCGTCTGTCTGCGCGTTGGGGTGCCTGCCTGGCTGCCTGCGCTTGCTGTGCAGCCTGCTCGTCGGCACTGCCGGCCGGCGGCAGCAGGCTGTACAGGCTGTACATGTGCGGGGAGGAGCACCGCCCAACACGTTGGCTGCTGGATGGATGCCTGCCCATGCAGGGCGCCTGCCTGACGCCCGACCAGACCATGCTGGTGACAGAGTATATGGAGGGAGGCAACCTGTCCAGCAACATCGCTGCGGGGAGGGTGGGCTGGTACCGGCGCGGCAAAAAGGTGTGCTGGCTGCGATTGTTTACAGCCAGGGAGCGCGGCGCTGGCGCTGCGGCCGCCAGCTGGATGCTGAGGCGGTGCGTGCCCGCTGCCCTCCCTCCCTAACCTGCAATCGCCGCCTTCGCCGGCAGATTGCGCTGGACGTGGCACGCGGCCTCGTCTTCCTCCACTCCCGCCGCATCGTCCACTTCGACCTCAAGTCGCCAAACATACTGCTGACGCGGTGAGACGCGGCTGGGGCTGTCGGGTACATGTTGGGAGGAGCCTGGGGTGTGGCCACAGGGCCTGCGCCCTGAGCAGCTCTGCCGCTGGCGCTCCCACTGCCGTTTGGTGGCAGCGTGAAGAATGTACTGCCTGCATGTACTGCAGGGATGGTACTGCCAAGATAGGGGACGTGGGCATGGCCAGGATCATTGCGCGGGACTATGTGACCGGCGTGGTGGGCACGCTGGCCTGGTGAGCGGCGGTGGTGGCACGGCTGGCAACGGCGCAGGGGACGACAGGCTGGTGAGCCGATCAGCTCAGAAGCGAGTGTCCCCTCTTCTTGCCCCCCGTCCCGGCACCCCGCAGGTCTGCCCCCGAGATGCTGTGGGGCGAGCGGTGCACCGAGAGGGCAGACATCTATTCGTATGGTGGGGCTTTCTTTTCCTGCTTTCTTTTCCTGCTTTCTTGCTTCTGTCATTCCTTCGCTGGGCTGGCCAGAGGTGGACGGAGCACAGGTAGGTCCCGGGCGCCCACTCCTGCCATGCTGTGGTCGTGCTGTGCCTGCAGGCATCGTGCTGTGGGAGATCTGCTCCGGGGAGAAGCCGCTGCGGGGCCAGCTGCGCGACCTGCGGTACGCTGGGCGGGCCACGCTGTACAGCTGTACTGCTGCTATCGCACACGTGCCTCCTGACCTCCCGGCGCAGCCGCCGCCGCCCGCGGCGTATTGCCACCTTCCGGGCACGCTGAAACCCTGCCTCAAACCCTGCCTCAAGCGCACACCGCTGCTCCCGTTCCTCCCGCTGCTGCCTGCCGCCGTGCAGGGTGCCGCAGGAGTGCCCCAGCGGGGTGCGGGACCTGATTCTGGAGTGCCTGGAGACGCGCCCCTCCCGCCGCCCCTCTGCCTTCGAGCTGGTGCAGCGGCTGCAGGCGCTTCCCGGCGAGCCACCCAGCGGGGTGCGCCCCACGCCGTCGCCCTCGCAGCCCAGCTCGCAACCCACGCCCTCTGTGGCAGGCAGCTCTCCCTCCGCCTCCCGGCGGGCCGCCAACGCCTCTGCCGCTGCCCCGGGCCAAGAAGCAGCAGCAGCAGCGGCAGCAGCAGGCAGCGCCGAACCCAGCGGCACAGCCGGCGTGCGCTCGGCAGACGGCGCTCCCGCTGGCCGGGGAGCAGCGTCGGCAGCAGCGGGACGAGGAGGGGCCGGTGCTTCTGCCGCTGCGCTAGCGCTTCGGGTGCTGGGGATGCGGTCCCGCTCTCTGGACCTGTCGCCTCTGTCAGACACAGCGGCAGCCCGCCTGCAGCAGTGGCGGGAGGGCCAGCCTGGCGCCGCCGAGGCAGCTGCGGGGGCTGCCGCCGCGGAGGCGCAGCGGCGCCGGGATCAGGGCCGCTCCGGAGGCAGCGGCGTGCGGCGCAGCTTCTAGGGCTGCAGCGCTGCCACGGCGAAGCGGTCTCCCGCACCCAACCAGAGCCGGTCCCTTGCAACGAGCTGACGCGGTCCCTCGCAGCCAACCAGCCACCTGGCCGAGCTAATGAATCGACGGTGTGTGTGCTGTTGTTGCCACCTGAAGGACTGTGGTGGTTCGTCACATTGTGTGTAGCTGCTTGCGTGTCATGTTTTGTGTGTGCGTATCTTTCGATAATAAGCCAATCCACCTTTCTCTCTCTGCAAGCAGCCCCTCTCTTTCTTCCTCGCCATCCTTCCGCGTGCTCGCGCCCCGCCCCCCACCCCAGCACTTGCGCTGCTCTGCAGACCAGCCCACCTCCCTCTGCAAGCAGTTGATGGCATGCTTTGATTGCTTATTTGCTGCCAAACATAGGGCAGGCGCATGCTGCCCCGCCCTTTGGCCCTGCCCACCCCTTCGGTTAATGCACCCGCTGCAGGTGCCCACTTGTCTCCCCAACCTTTTGCTATTCTGCCGTCCTTGATCCACCCCCTCCTTTCATCTGATCCGCCCCCGCCTTTCATCCAGGACCCCTTTACACTGCAGCTGCTGATATGCAGCGGTATGCAGCGCATCCTTTCTTCCTTCCCTTCCAGGTATGAATCATGTGGCATAGCAATGCAAGAGCTAGCGACACCGCGCTGGTGCCGTGGAATGAAATGCGGCCGGGGGGGCAAGGCCAGGGGTGGGAGAGCAGCCGATGTGGCCTGAATCAAACAGGGCCGGCCGGCAGCTTCGGCGCTGCTGGTTGGCAATTGCTGGCGGGCTTGTGCAAAAAGGGGTGGTTCTGAGCTTGCGTCCGCTGGCAGCCGGCAGCTGAACCTGGCAGCGGCTGCAGCGGCAGCGGTGCAGCTGGGGAGCTCCTCACTGCTGCGCACCAGGCGGCCGGGCACCAGGCGGGCTCGGCTGGGCGCCAGCTGGAGGCGCCAGCTGGAGGCCCCGGCTCAGCCGCCGGCGCCGGTGCCGGCGTTGACGGCGGCCACGTCGATCACCTCTCCCGGCTGGCAGGGCGGGAAATCGAAGCCGCAGGCCTGCGCCAGGATGGCGGTGGCGCCCTCAAAGTAGGCGGGGTCGAAGCCGCCGATGGGCAGCAGCTGCTGGTAGCCCCTGCAGCAGGGTGGGGGTGGGGCGGCACGCCGGTCAACAGCCGCGGCGCACGTTGCGACAACGCGGTGCTAGAAGCATTGGCGGCATGGCACGCCGTGGCCGGCTGGCCCCTGCACGGCAGCTGCTGCCGAGTGCGGGTGCGGGAGGAAGCACGCGCATGCGGGAGTGGCCCCAGATTGCCAGCCATGCTGCCAGGCTGGCAAAAGCAGGCAGGCGGGCGTGCATCCTGCGCATCCATGCAAAAGGCCAGCATATGCAGGCATGAATGCAGCGGCTCACGCGTCGCAGGGGCAGCGCCCGTCGGCGAAGGGCCTCAGCTCCTGGCAGCAGGTTCTGGAGGGCTGGGCGGCGGCCTTCATGTTGTTGATGGCGGTTTGCACCTGGGAAAGAAAGTACGAAAAGAAAGAGGTCTTGTGTCGCGAGTCCCGTTGCGGATATGCAGACTGTGAACACAAAAGGTAAGCGTGGGCCGAGGGGAAACCGGTGGGTTGTTTGCCCCAGACGCGTGCTCCACCGGCTGCCGGGGTGCCCACCTGCTCGGGGGTGGGCAGCTCCTCGGAGCCGCGCGGGAAGACCAGGGACACTGCGGGAGGGGAGGGGTTGGCAGGGCAGCGAGCCGGCAACGTTGCTGGCAGGGCGGTGATATGCACGGCGCGCGGGATGGAGGGTTGTGGCTGGATGCCCCGCAGTCGGATCGGCAGGCAGGCTGCGCCCGGCGCGGGCGGCGGGCGCGCCGGGCGCGGTGCCCGCCCGTCTCCCACTGGAGCCAGGCTGCTGCGGCGGCGGCGGCGGCGCCGCCGGCCGCCTCCCTTTGCCCCGTGGACCGTCCCGCAGCCCCCGCTATGAGCCGCTCACGTGTGTCACTCTCCACCGTGCAAGCCTGCCCTGCGCTGTTGGTGACCCTGATGCAGGCATCCACCTCAGCGCTGCCATACATGCTCTCAGGGGGCTGCTGCGCAGGCGCCTCGGCCGCGGGCGGCGGCTGCGGCGCGGCCGCGGCGGCGCTCTCGGCCGCCTGCGCCAGCCCGCGGGCCGCCGCCGCGGGCCGGACCGCCCCCGCGGCGGCCAGGGCCGCGGCCAGCAGCAGGAGAGGGCCCAGGGGTCGCTGAAGCAGCCGCAGCATGGGGCTGTACAAGGTTTGGCTGGGGTTGGCAGCCCCGTTGCAGTGCTGTGCTGGGCGGTCGGTGCCTGTGAGGATCGATGAGGCGAAGCGTCACGGTCAGGCCCGAAAACGGCAAAACACACAATGCTGGCTTCCACCCCAGGATGTGCTGCAGGAGGAAAGCAGGCCTGTGTCATGGCCATGTCACTGTTGCCCAACAACTTTGGTGTTTTCGGCAGCCCAGGGGGGGACCCCCCACCATTCCAGGCTCGCTGCACGCAGGGAGTGCGGGCCCTCGGAGGCCGCGGGCTGCCAAGGGATTCATTGAGTCGGCAGCTCTGCAGCGGCCTCCCTCGGTCCATGTGTGCAGCGCTGGACGATCTGCACCAGCAGCCAGAGCGGTAGGCTGTCCAGGCGAGGCCCCTGCCAGTCGGCTCAGGTGAGCCACAAGCAGCCTGTCAGACTGGGGCCCTGCTCGCTCAGGCTGCCTGTCGCTGGAGTAGCAGCTGCGCTGGGCGGCAGGCAGCTCTGCTGAGCAGCGCTGGCCACACGCGGCGGCCGCCGCCGCCCGCCGCGGCCGCCCGCGCGCCGACTGACCAAGTTGTTCCTGCGCGCCCGCTGCCTTGCAGGGCCAGGGGCACGGGCAGGCGCTCAAGCAGCGCAGAGGAGGGGCCGTGGGCCATGTGGCGGGCGCAGCTGCTGGTGGCTTGCCTGCTGGCGGCGGTCGACGCCGCGGGACGCACGGCCGCGCAGCCGTCCGGCGGCGGCGACGGCAGCGGCGGGCCTCCCAGCGGCAGGGGCAGCCAGGCAGCCACCGGAGAGTGGGCTGCCGTGGGCAGCAGGCAAATGGACGGTGAGCAGGCTGCCTCGCAGGGCTGCCGCAGCTGCCCTCTGCCCCACAACCGCAAGCAGCCACCGTCCCTGCACACCATTCCTGCACACCGCCTCCCCGCGCGCGTCCCACCTGCCGCCGCGCCCCGGCCGAAGCACCCACCTGCGCCGCCGCCGCCGCCGCCGCCGCCGCCTTCCGCCCTGCAGTACAGAGCCTTTTGTACCTGCGCAACGCCGTGGACAACTGGGGCGAGTTCTCGGCGGCCAATGAGTTCAGAGGGTGGGACGCCTCCACGCCGCCCTGCTCCTGGAGCGGCGTCACCTGCAGCGACGACGGCACCATCCTTACGCTGTGAGCCGACCCCGCATGGTGGCGCCTCCCTCCCCTCTCCCCCTTTGCCCATGAGCTCCCAAGCTTTCGTACAAAGGGAGACGGGGGGCACCTCGCCGCCGCCACCGCCGGGCCACGCTGGCCGCCCCCTGCGCAGCTGGCACCCCTCTGCTGCTTGATCTCATGCGCTGCCAAGCCGCGACCACTGCCCACCGTTGCCGTACATGCGTCGAGCGCTCCCCCTCCCCTCCCTGCTGCAGCTCCTGGCAGTGCCGGGCGTGCGAGGTGCGGGCGGTGGGCACGCTGCCTGCGGAGCTGGGCGCCATGCGCACGCTCGCCACCCTCGACCTGCAGAGCAACAGGTGTGGCGCGCATCGGCACCCTACCCCCGCATGCCGCGTCCAGCTGGCAGTGTGCTGGTCTGTTGGTACATGGCTGGCTGGCTGGCGCGGAGCTCTTTGCCCATCAGCATCATCTCTCCCCGGGCATGCCACCCCCTGCTCCACTCCCTGCGGCTCCACTCCCTCCCCACTTGCACAGCTGCCACTGCCGCCGCCACCGCCGGCAGCTTACCCACACACCCGCCCACCCCGCCCGCAGGTTTTACGGCAGCCTGCCGCGGCTGTGGGGCGAGGTGGACACGTGGCCGGCACTACAGAACCTGTACCTCAACGACAACAACCTCAGCGGCAGCCTGCCCCCGGTGAGCCTGCACCCAGCCCGCTTCCACACTTCACGCGGCTATCTTTCTTTCCAGTTTTCTGTTTTCTCTCTGAGTGCTGCTTGCCGTCAGGGCTGGCGGCGCTGCACAGTCAGCCGGGGCTGCTACCTGGTCAGCGCCAGCGCCCGGCATCGGGCGTCGGCGCTGCTCGCCGGTGGCAGTCGTCTGCTGTCCCCGTGGCAAGGAACACCTGTTTCCAGCGCCCGCCTGCCCCCTCCACCGGTGGTACCCTCGCCGCCCTCCTGCCGCAGAAGTGGGGAGACCCCGGCTCGCTGCCCAGCCTGCTGCAGCTGCGCGCCGACAGCAACCGCCTGTGAGTGGCGCCGCTGCCGCCGCTGCCGCCGCTGCCGACTGCTTCCTGCTGCCGCCGCCAACTGCCTGCTGGCGGCTGCCTGCTGCCAAGTGCCTGCTGCCTGCTGCCGACTGTCGTGGCGGCTGCTGGGCGGGGCTGTGAGCGACGGCTGGCGCCTTAGCAGCCGCATGTGTGCGTGCCCCTTTGCACAATGCGCATGCCTGCCACCTTTCACCTCTCTTGAGTGGCACCTGCCCTCTCCCGTGTGTGTGCTTGCAGCACGGGCACGCTACCCCAGGAGTGGGGCATCCAGGAGACGTCCATGCGGGAGCTGGGAGTACTGTGAGCCTGCCGCAGCGGCGGCAGCAGACGCAGCCGTTGCTCCTGCGCCATTCCCGCGCGTCTCGCTGCCGCCAGCAACCCGGCCTGCACCCCTCTGCGCTGCTGCCAGGCTGCCTGCCATGCCTCATTTGCCGCCGCTGCCTTACAGTGCGTGCCGCGCTGGCGTGCGCCTCCTGCAGCCGCCTGTCCAACAACAGCTTCAACGGCACGCTGCCGGAGCAGGCGCGCCGCCGCCGCCGCTGCAGGCCGCTCCATAGCCAAGCCGGCCCGGCGCGGCTGCCCTGGCCTGCTCACTCGCCTGCATTGCTGCTACGGCTGGGGCATGATTTGCCTGCCTGCCGCCTGCCTCCTCAAGCTTGCTGCGTGCCGAGCCTTCCCTCTACCCATCCTGCCGCCGCATCCATCGGCTGCCGCTCCCCTCCTCAACCCTGTCCACGCAGTGGGGCACCCCCGGCGCCTTCCCTCAGCTGTCGGTGCTGGCGCTGGACGCTAACCGCCTCACCGGCACGCTGCCAGACATCTGGGGCGCCTCGGCCGCCATGAACTTTCTTCAGGAGCTGTGAGTGCAGGGTGGGGCTGGAGGGTAGGGTGGGGGTGAACGGCTGACTGGTGGCAGCCCCTGGCACTCAGGGGCGGTATGTGCTGCCTGAGAGCGCCTGCAAGGGCGCAGCGCTGGTGCACACCCACGCTGGTCCTCACAGCTGGCCAGCAGTGTGCTTCCATGCAGCCGCCTAGCTGACACGCTCCCTGCCTGCCTGACCTGCCTGCCTCCTTAACTCCTGCCCTGCCCGCTTGCCTGCCTGCAGGTACCTTCAGAAGAATGAGATGAGCGGCGGGCTGCCCGCCAGCTGGGGCGCCCACCACGGCATGCCGCGCCTGCGCTTCTTCTTTGCGGCGAACAACCCGCTGGGAGGTGGGTGGGCGCCGCCGGCGGTGCTGGTTGGCTGGCTGGCTGGCTGGCTGCTGGCAGGCGCCAGCTGGCGGGAGGTTCCGTTCTGCGCTGCAGCCGGCACGCCATGGCGTGTGGCGGACGCCTGGCGGGCCTGCCAGAAGAGGTGCCCGCTGTGCTCCCCAGGCAAGCCTGCCACACCTGCCCGCTTCCCATTGCTTACTATGTGTGGTGTGCAGGCACTCTGCCTGCGTCGTGGGGCCAGAACGGATCCTTCCCGGAGCTCAAGACGCTGTGAGTGGCGGGCCTGCCGTCGGCAGCTGCCGCCGTCTCGAGTCGCTCTCGAGTCAGGTGTCAGCTTCCTTGAAGCCACCAGGGGACCCGTGCCGCGTCGGTTTGCTGCACTGCACATGTCTGTCTGAGTCGCTGCGCTGGGCCTTGTACCGCCGTACCGCAGGGATCTCAACGCCACCATGCTGTACGGCACGCTGCCGCCGCAGTGGGGCGACCCTCGGGTCATGCCCACCCTGGACGCCATGTGAGCCGCCCGCGCTTTCTTCCCATTCTTTCTTTCTTGTCCTCCTTTCTTGCTTGAGCCGTCCGCCGCTGGGGGTGCCACCGCTCCTTTCCTTTCCGCTTGCCTACCAGGGGCGTTCTTTCCGCGAAGCCATGGCCGCCGCCCTGGCTGCCAGCCGCGCCCCCCCACCCGCCGTTACGTGCCGTCCCCGCCTGCCTGGCCCGCCTGCCAGGCGCCTTCAAAACAACGACCTCTCCGGCTCCATACCTCCCGAGTGGCGCGGCTTCACCGCCCTCTCCCGGCTGATCATCCGGCCGGGCAACCCGCGGCTGTGCGGCCCGCCGCCGCCGGGCCTGCCTTACTCACGTGAGGCGCCTTCGGGGCCTGGACCCACCAGCAGGCTGATGCTCGAGGCAGCGAGACTGCGGCTGCCTGCCTGGCAGTGCCTCCTGCTGGACAGCAGAGCACTGCCCTGCTGGGCAGCTGGCCCACCCCTGGCCTTCGCCTGCCTGCTCTACGTGCGTCCCCCGGAGGCCGCATGCATGCACACGTATCTATGTGTGTCTCTGAGTGTGTCCCTCCACCTCCCCCTACTGCTTGCAGTGTGTGACGACAGGGACCTCACCTGCCTGCGGGTGCCAGTAGAGCTCAACGCCACCTGCGGCCCCATCCTGGCCCCGCCGCCAGCCCCTGCGCCGGAACCGCCGCCGGCTTCTGCCGCCACCAACGCCGCGCCAGCAGTAGCAGCAAGCGGGGACGTGACCGCTTTGCAGGAAGCGACCACGCAAGCCGCCGCGCCACAGCCTGGCGACGACAGTGGCGGCGACGGCGGCAAAGTGGGGGCTATCGTAGGAGGCGTGGTGGGCGGCGTGGTGGCTGCGGCGGCCGCGGCAGCGCTTGCGGTCTGGGCGCTGGCGCGGCGGCGGCGGCGCCGGCAGGAGAGGCAGCGGCAGGAGCAGCTGAAGCCCTCTGTGCGGCCTTTCATTGCTGAGGCAAGTGGACCAGGGCTGGCAACTGCTAGCCTCGGCAGCTGCACTGCAGCTCGAAGTGGAAGCTGTGTGGAAGCTGCCTTTGGCCTACGCCTGGCTGATATGCCAGTGTGTGCCCTGAGCGGCTTGCAGGAAGAGGAGATGGAGAGGGGCGGCCCAGGCGGCGGCTCCGGAGCCACCAACGGCGCCGGGCCGCTGCCGCCCTCGCCGTTTGCCGTTGTCGCGGAGCCAGTGCGTGCAGCCTACAGGTGCCGGCCAGGCCGGCCCTGCTGCCTGCCTGCTCGCCTAATAGAAGCAAGACTTTAATGGCATTAAGGCCCGAGTGCAGCGTTGCCTGACAGCGTGCCTGGCTTGCTTGCTGCTTCCTCCCCGCAGTACCTCCCACAGCAGCCGTACCGCAGCCTCGCCCGCCCCCGCCAGCAGCATCCGCACGCCGCCGCCGCCCGAGCGCCGCCCCAGCCGCCTGGCCAGCCTGATGCAGGGCAGCGGCCTGCTGCCCAGCAGCAGCGGCAGCCTGCTGTACCGCTGGTGCAGCGACTCCCGTACCGCCTCCCTGGAGCTGCCGCCCACGTCGCGGACGGAGGCGGAGGTTGGCAGGGGAGGGGCTGCTGCTGTGCTGTGCTGCGTGCCTGTGCCGGCCTGCCCACAATCGAGCAGCAGCCTCAACTTGGGGCTGGCCCTCAGCGGGTGTTGACTTGCAGGGCACGGCTGCGCAGACCTGGTGGTGCCGATGGCAGTGGCGTCCGCCTTAAAGGCTGAAGCTTGAGCTGCGCCCCCTCCCATGCTTGCCCTGCAGGCTGCGGGCGGCGGCATGCAAGTGATGGCACAGATTGCTGAGGAGGGGCAGGGCGGGTCGTTTGGGCACAAGCAGGCGCCGCCCGGTGCGCCCAGCCAGCCTGTTTGTTTCAAACACGCAACGGGGAGCGGTGCCGTCGGCAGCCAGAAAAAGGGAAAGCCTCGGGCTGGGGGTCTGGCGCGAGCGACTGATCTGTTGCTCAAACCGTCGTCGCACCTGCCTGGCTGCCTGCCTGCCTGCAGAGGAGGAGCGCCCGCCCAGCAGCCCGCTGGGCAGCGCCAGCACGCGCGCCAGCGGCAGCGCCAGCGGACGCCCCATCACCCGCTTCCTGTCGCAGTCGCTGCCCTGGAGCGACTGGGAGATCAGGCCTGAGGGTGAGAGAGCCCTGGGTGTGGGGTGGGGTGGGTGGCAGGAGGAGCAGCGCTGCTGTGGGGAAGGCTCTCTGGATCCGCCGTGCTGTGCTGGCTGCCGCTCCACCGCACGCCGCCGCCATCAGGCTTGAGCTCGTCCCACGGCGACTATGGTATGCCCCTGGGCCAACGAATGGCCGACATCCCCTCCCTGCCCACCGCGCAGAGATCGAGATAGCCAAGCGCCCCGACGGCTCCGACTGGCTGCTGGGCAGCGGCGGGTTTGGCAAGGTGGGGCGCAGCCGGGCGGACGGGGAGCGGGCGGCAGCACCCGGTGCATGCTACATCGGGCAGCGATGGATACCAGGCACACACACTGACAGTGCGTGCTCAGCTGGCCTTAGGCTTACGAATCCAGCCCCCGCCCGCCCTCCTCCTCTGCCACAGGTGTACAAGGCGCTGCGGCACGGCGTGCAGCCGGTGGCGGTCAAGATAATCCCGGTGAGACGCCGAGCTGGCGCTGAGCTGGCCTCTGGCACTGAGCTGGCGGTGGCGATTGGCATGCTCCGGCTGCCCTCCTCTCCAGCCGCCTGCCATCTTTCCTGCTTCCTGTTCCCAGATGGCCCTTGGGGTGTGGGATGCTGAGAAGCAGTGCTGCCCGACCCACCCCACCGCTCTCCCTGCTGCCCCCGCCGCATGCGCAGGTGCTGGGCGACATGCAGCACCCGGCGGCGCTGGCGGAGGCGCGCCAGGAGATTGCCATCCTGCGGGCCTGCCGGGACGTCAACATCGTGCAGTTTGTGGTGGGCGCATGCGCCCCGCCCTGTGCCAGTGTCCTGCTCCACATGCCTGCCTGTCTGTAGATACTCTGTCTGTCACACCCGTAAGGAGCACGTGAATGCTTTGTGCCCAGCCGTGGCGCTGCAGCTAGAATGGATTGAGGAATGCCGGGTGGCTGGGTTGTGCACGCCGCTAGAGTGTGCCCGCCCGGCTCCCGCTGCGTCCAACCACCTGCCCTTGCATCGGTGCTGCGGCCGCAGGGCGCCTACCTCACCCCCGACCAGACCATGCTGGTGACGGAGTATATGGAGGGAGGGGACCTGCTGCACAACATCGCGGCGGGGAGGGTCACGTGGTACCGGCGCGGCAAAAAGGTGCGGGTTTGGAGGCTGGGCGGGGGAGCCTGTTGGAGCAAGCCTGCTTGTTTGCTTGCTTGCTTGTGTGGGCTTGCAGTCTGGTTTCAGCAAGAAACAGATTGCAGCACAGCCTCTGCTGTTCGAACCATGGTCCCCTCCCAATTCCCCATCGCCCTCCCTTCACCGCGTGCTGCCACCACTGCCTCCTCTCGCCCTGCCCACCCCGCGCCCCGTGCCTCTCCCCCTCCCCTCCCCCAGATTGTGCTGGACGTGGCACGCGGCCTCGTCTTCCTCCACTCCCGCCGCGTCGTGCACTTCGACCTCAAGTCGCCAAACATACTGCTGGCGCGGTGAGGCGCGGCGGCGGCCGCTGTGGGGGCCTGCCCGGCGCCCGCCACGCCTGCCTGCGCCTGCGCCGCCCGCCCAACGCCCCACCCGGCTGCCAAGTCGGCCTGGTCTGCTGCCTGCCTGTACCGCAGGGATGGCACCGCCAAGATTGCCGACGTGGGCATGGCCAAAATTATGAACCGGGACTACGTGACAGGGGTGGTGTCCACGCTGGCATGGTGGGTGGCGGCGGTGGCTCCAGTTTCAGCAGGTTCCCACAGGTTCAGCAGGTTGTACCCTCTCCCCCTCGATCATATCACACTGTGTCTAAACTGCCGCTCGTCCTGCCTTCACACGCCACCCACCGCGCCGCGCCGCTGTCCCCGCTCCGGCACCCCGCAGGTCCGCCCCCGAGATGCTGTGGGGCATCAAGTGCACCGAGAAGGCAGACATCTACTCGTACGGTGGGGCCTTCTTTTCCTGCTTTCTTTATATACCGGAGCCCAGCGTTGGGCTCCCTGACAGCCTGCCCAGCCAGAGCGGCGCGTACGGCTGCCGCCTGGGCTAGCAGCAGTTGCCATGCCATGCCATGCTGCCATGCTGTGGTCATGCTGTGCTCCCTCTGTGCCTGCAGGCATCGTGCTTTGGGAGATCTGCGCCGGGCAGGCCCCCGAGCGAGGCCGTCTGCGCGACCTGCGGTGCGCCGCTGTGCCACGCTGTGCCGCGCTGTGGTCGGCCTGCTGTGGGGCCCTGCCCGCCGCCGCTGCTCTGCGTGCGACGGCGGCCAGACTCCGTTGTTAGGATCAGAGAATGAGGACATTGCATAAGGAGGACTCTGTGTGAGAGTGAGCATGCCAGGCTGCGTCGTCAGGAGGGGCTCAAGGCCCGTGATCGATCTGGGCTGCTCCTCCCGCCGCTGCCTGCTGCTGCGCAGGGTTCCCGAGGAGTGCCCCGAAGAGGTGCGGCAGCTGATCCTGGAGTGCCTGGACTCGCGCCCCTCGCTGCGCCCCTCCGCCCTGCAGCTCGTGGAGAGGCTCGCCGCGGTGCCAGCGGGCCCCGCGCCGCCCCAGCCGCGCCGCTCGGCAGACGTCGTGCAGCGGCGCGGCGGGCGGCAGGCGGGGGCGGCGGATGCGGCGGGAGCGGGAGCGCCCGTGGCGGCGGAGCCAGCTGGGGCGCCGGTCGCATGATGGCCGCAGCGCTGCGGGGCGGACCCAGCATGAGCTGCCGCGGTATAGGAAAGAATTCTGCTTGGAA